GTGATTTAAATACCACCAAAAGAAAGCTCTATCTTTCCCCAAAAAATTGTATAAAATGTATTTCAGTACAGCGTTGCATTACGGAATAAATGTCCAGTCAAAGTACCGCAGCGCTGAATACTGAAAAATGGCCTGGCCAGGAAGGGGGTCTAAACACCCCGGTCAGAAAGTGGTTAAATCAGGTCATACAGCGTCCAGCTGTCCTCCCTCTGGTTAGATGCGGTAGGTCCAGCCGTTCTTCCCCATCTCTCCTAATTGAAACTCCCTACCTCAGCACAGAGCTCTGCCTGTATAAGAATGTGCTGAACCCTGAGCTCTGCAACCCGGATCGAGTGATCACCGTTGCAATGCTTTCCAGGCTTGAATGCAATAATGAAAGAAATGCATTTTTTTAATATATATATTATTAAATATGCTTTTTTTTAAAATAATTTTTGCAAAAGGTGAACTTAGCCTTTAATGTTTTCCTGGATGTTTGTAGGGGGTAGCCCCACTGCAAGGGTTAATAAAATGTTTTCCTTCTTTAAGTGCTCCAAGACCTGACAATTGTGAAGACATTGTAAAGTCATTCCTTTGGCAAGCTTAAAATACTCCAAGCCAATCCACAGCTGCTGTGCTGTTTAAAATCATCTGGATACTGTTGAACCCTTTAGCAAAATATTTGTGAGGACTTTAAAACAATCATAATAGTGAGAACACAGACTAAAGGTGCCCATACACCTTGCGATTATCGTACGATAATCGCGGGAAATCCCGCGATCGTACGATAATCGCAAAGGTGTATGGAAGATTTGATGGACTAATGTCTTTATTCAACCTCAAATACTATGTAACTATGTAACAGACTGCATAGGGAGAGATTAGGGTAAAATTAGGATCAGTTAAGAAAATGTACATTAAATCATAAACAATGATTGCTAGGCTCTTCCATCTATAATCATTTTGTCTCTCATAGTTGAGGTCTACCTATGATGCCAATTACAGGCCTCTCATCTTTTTAAGTGGGAGAACTTGCACAATTTGTGGCTGATTAAATACTTGTTTTGCCCCACTGTATTTCCCTTTTGAAATAGAAAAAGAGATGGAGGACACAGAGTCCTCTATCTCTTTTTCTGCAGGCCCAGCACTTAATGAACAGGAAGCACTCTGTATAAAGGATTCCTGTTCATGTATAAACTGAGGAGATAGTACTATCTCCCCAGTTATGAATAGACAGGAGGTGGTCTGTGCTGAGCACCTCCTCTCCATTCATAAACTGAGTAGATAGTAAACTGTTACTATGTCCTCAGTCATGAATGAACAGGAAGTGATGTATAGCACTTTCTGTTAATTCATAACTGGAGAAACAGTAATTGGTTACTATCTCCTCAGTTGTTTACAAATATTAGAGTGATCAGAGTGCTCAGTACAGGGAAGAATCTGCAAATATTTCACATATTTGCTGATCCTTTCCGCTCGGCATCCTGAAGCTCCACCCCCTCCCCCATGTCACCAGAGCTCTCCTCCCCATACTGCCCCGCTCGACATCCTGACTGGCCCCTGTCACTGTTCACTCCTCCCTGTTGGTTCTGTGTCCCCTCTGATCCCCGCTGCTTCTGCCGATAGAGACAGGGGAGAGCAGCAGGCATAGGAGCGGACACAGAGTTGATCATGATGCTGGTGCCCAGCGGGGAGGAGAAAGCAAGAGGGAACCCTTTCTGAATCAATAGCTGCCATCAGCTGCTTGTCAGCCACTGATGATAGCTATTCTTTTACACAGCACAGTAAGGGGTGCCCTTTTGTTATAAGCTTGTGGTCGCTGTAGTTACCCTGAGCTTATAGCAGAAGGGTGAAATCCAGCGACATATGGCATACCTACCTGGCCAGCTGGAAAACATTTTTTGTTCTGCCATATTCGTTACGTCATTGGCAGAGAAAGGGTTAAAGGGTCAAGCTGTCTAGCAAAAAAGTGGCGGATAGAAGTTTGAGACAAACCATTTAACACTGACAGGGGTGGTTACAATGGTTGGCTTTTATACAGTTATGTAAAACTTTTATCCCAAAAAGAAAAAAAACTGTGTTTTTGTAACTGCTTAAAAAGTGTTAGCTGGAATTTTGATTTATCTATATGTCCATCTAAATCTGCTAGTTTATCTAACACTATCCTCTCCACAGGATGACAATACTGATATCCAAGGTTGGCTCTGTTCCTCCTAGAGTGAAGCCACCGAAAGGCAGCCCTTTTATGTGAGTGCATCAAAAAAGGTGCAGTTGCCATTTCTGGCAATGCACTTACTGGCCAGATCTCCAGTTGAAAATTAAGGAAATAAAAAGCCTAAAAAAGGAAATGAATGCAGCTGCCACATTTCAGGACTGGTAAGTTACAATATATACCATTTTTGGTTTTGGGTTTAGATACGCTTTAAGGTCAGCAGTCACTTTTAGCTGCAGTACCCCCAAAAACATGCATGGTTTGTTTTCCATTCTCGTTTTTTAGGTGTGGTATTATGGGATTTTCATTTACATTGGGGAATTTTTTTTTTATTTCTATGTTGGTAGGGACTTTTTTTAAGTTTGTGGTGCTCAAAGTGCAGCATTCATTTGCTACTGATGAGCTACTTTAAGCTGCCTTCTGCTCACAGCTAAGTGTTGTATCATCAAAAAGGAAAAAGAAAAGTGTGCACTTAACCTGAAATAATATCTCTCACATTCACAGATAGTTCATAATTCTTGTAGTAAATCCCCAGTAAATGTGGCCTAGTTTTGCTCATTAAAATCGTCCTGCTGCTGGCCAGTTTTGCACTGTTGTATCATCTGCAGTCTTTTAATTCTTAATGAGAGTTTGATAGAAACTCACCAGAAATTGGACAGTTTTTTGTTTCAGTGCGAACAGCCTTAAAAAACTACTAGGCAACTTCTATCCACCGGTCAAAGCTGATCTGTTACTGCATGATGAAAACACGTGTGTCACTGCTAAAACTACCTAGAAAAAATATTTTTGTACTTGCTGGAAAATCTTTTTCTTGACTGATATAGGAATGTAGTAATTCTTAAACATTTGGGTTATACTGCTGCCGTCAGGAGGTTTGTAAACTGGCAAGCACAAAATGTTAGGCCAGCCACTGTATAACCCCCACCTCCAACCATCATGTCTCTAGGTTTGTGAGCAAGCAGTGCACAAGTCCAATAAGACATAGAGGCAGGATCTGTATCCCTCAATGGACGTCAAGAAAAAGATTTTACGGTAAGCATGAAAGTCTTTTCTTTATCCTTCATTGAGGAGAGACAGAAACGTAGTAATTCTTAGACATTCAGGATGTCCAAACGCAGTCCAATTGCGTGGTGGTCAGTAGCCACTGAGAAATCTGACAGATGTGGTAATTTTATTAAACTGAGTATCTGAAGGAATTAACACCTGAACGAAGGCTAGATAAAGAAGGGCCAAAGCAGTTGTGGAAATTGTCACGAACAAGGAAGGGCACCTAGGATCAACTTGGTGTTGAAGACTAGGGCAGGTAATGGAAACTGCTACCTAAAGGAATGATGGACCATAACTAATAAAGTGGAGGACAACAAATAATCCACTGGGAGGAAAGTGAGAAAAACATTGCACCAACATCTAAGGTGCTCAACAAAAAAAGTATGTTTTACTGGGGTAAAGGCCAAAGCATAGGATACCTAACCCTCAACTTCTGGGAGAGGAAGGCTGGACATTCAAGGTATATCCAAACAAAAAGACCAGTATGTTTACATTTGGAGGCTTAAAGGAGAACTATGAGGTCAGTGTTTTTTTCCCCATAGTTCTCCTTAGGGTAACGGGATGACACAAACTAGCGTCCTCCCGTTACCCTGAGCTCAGTATACCGCGAGCTACAGCTCGCGGTATACTGAGATGACGGGATCCGCCCAGCTGCGTGAGTGACAGCTGGCTCTGCCTATCTAGAGGCAGAGCCAGCTGTACCCGCCCCCTCCCCGTCCGTTCCGCCAGTCAGCGCTGGCAGATCGGAGCGGGGAGAGGGGAATCCAGCCCCAGGATCGAGAGGTGAGCGAACCTGGTATGTGTTCGCTCACCTCCCGATCTACTGAGCCGACCTGTGACAGTCTCATTGTCACAGGTCGGCTAGAACTATGAGGTGAGTGGAAATCGCTCATCTCATAGTTCTCCTTTTAAGTTCAACACCCTTCAGATAGAGAGAAGTCAATTATATGAAACATTTTTCTGATAGATAAGTAATATCTCAAGAAAGATACATAGAGAGCCCTCTCAGCAGCAAATCCAAATGGAGAGAGGGAAAGAAACCATAAGCTGGAAAAAAATAAAGGCAGTAATTCTAAATCCCTTTCAAAGAAAAGATGAGGTTACATAGTAGGCATGTCCATAAGGTTCAACACACATTATATAAATGTAAAGCTTAGCCAGGACAAGCCCTCAAATGTTTTGCTTGGCAAAACAAACATACATACACATGCACCCACTACACTATCCTTTCTAGTACATGTAATAGTTTCTATAAGAGGATACACTAAAGGCACTCGGCTTCCAGTTGCAAATTTTGTATCTGAAGAGGACTTCATGGCAATTAAGCGTTTGGCGGGAAATGGCTTCTGGTTCCAGTCTCTCAAGTCCTTTTGTTTCAGTGATGTCCTCCTCTCGGTCAGAGCTGTATTGTGAAGTCCTCTCTTGGAGTCCATCTGACATCCCTCTCTTGGTCAGAGTTGCATTGTTTCAGAGAATGGTACAAAGAATGTCAAATGGGCGGAATGAGCCCTGTGATGTCATGGCTCACTCTACCCATCTGTTTACATTCTACCCAGAGATGTCATTTTGCGGCGAGTCTTCGTCGGGTTCAGACGGGTCGTCGTGCAGTGGGATCTGGGGGTGCAACACACTTGGTGCTTTTGGTACAGCAGTTGCCCGCATGACAGAGATAATACCTGGCATCCATGACCCCTATTTGATACTGCCAAACTCTGCCACGGCTGTTGCCCTCATGACAGAGATAATACATGTCATCTCTGACCGGTACTTGGTGCTACCGAACTCTTGCTCGGCAATTGCCCTCATGACAGAGATAATACATGGCATCTTGGATTCCGGCTTGGTGCTTTCCATCCTTACCCCAACAGTCACTTTCCTTCCAAATACTGTATAGTGTATGGAACCTCTATCCCCTACTCTGTGCTGCCAATCTTTGCTGTGGCAGTCACTCTCATGACAGAGTTAATATATGGCATCTCTGACCCATAGTAGGCCCTGCTGAACTCTTCAGCAGCACTAACTCTAATCCCGGACCTGGTATAGTACATTGCATCTCTTACTCCTGCTTGGCGCTGTTGAACTTTGCCTCTATAATCAATCACATGATGGAGTTAATACATGGCATCCATGACCCCCTACTTGATGGTGCTGAACTCTTCTGTGGCAGATGTCTCATGAGAGAGATAATATATGCCATCTCTAACCCCTACTTGGCCAAACTTTACCCATAATTGTAAATCTTGTAAATAGGTGATGCATTTAGAATCATTCACGGCTGTTAATTTAAGTAAAAATGATAGCGCTAAAATTACTTTCCACGTATGGGTTGGGCAGGGTTGTGTAATGTATCATTAGAATTGATGTATGTATGTGCATCCTGATTGTGCATATGTACTTATATACACTATGCGTATATAGGGTATCATTTGGGGAGGGGGTCCTTTTTTTAAAAATAAATAAATTAATTTTTAATGACATGGAGGAGACAAGTGAAAGGAAGGTGAGTGTGAAGTGACAAGGGTGTGACCAGTAACAGGGGAGCTGATAAGCGAAACGAAGGAGAGCAGAGGCTGGGTGGTGATTAGTGACAGGAAGGGTGTGCAGTGACAAGAGGTGACCAGTGAGTTGTACAGTTACAGGGGGGACAAGTGACGGACAGACGGTGAACTTGTGACATGGGGGTTTGGTGGCAGGGCAGCTGGGTGTCTGGGAATAGAAGTGACAGTGGGGGTGCATTGACTAGGGTGCTGGGTAAAAGTGGTGCAAGGGGTGTTAGACAATAAGCAGCTGCAGTGTCAGGGGTGCTGATTTCTAATTAGGCTCTAAAGCAAAAGCCATATGCTTGTTATTCTACTGATAAGTCTGCAGGGAGTCTTCTCTGACTGATGAGGGTAAAACAGTGTAGGCTCAAGGCGTTTTGATAAATAATTGTGTTTTACAAAAAAATGGCTGTTTTCTGTAAAACCTGTATAAATGGGAAAAAAACACCTTTAGGGCTCAGTCACAACATTGCGGTATGTTGATGTGCATTATGCTGCACGTTAACGTGGATTAGGTGAAGGCAGCCCTTTTATTTGAGTGATCACACCTCACATTGTGCTACAGCATGCTTCGTGTGCAGCTTCCTTATCACTCTACAAATATTGCTTCTAGGTTGCCATCTCTGTTACCCCTGCTTTTTGCAGCCTTTAACACCTCATGGTTAAGGGTTGTAGTCTGGCAACCAAATTGCCAAGACCACCTGGTGGTGGGCATAAAATCAATGTGTCTGTTTAGCATAAACATTAGCATTTTCAACAACCATTGCAAAAAATGCATCTGAACATGCCAGAAATGAAGAAGGTGCAGAGACGATGTCTATGCTCCCCACAGTGGTGGTAAAGGAAACCTGTAAAAGAGAAATAGAGAAGCTGCCATTGATGCTCTTGTTCTGAAAATGGTAAGTGCGTGGCTGTCCCTGGCTTCAGTAGTTTGGGTCATTTACCTGTAACAAATACAGTATAAAGATAAGGAAAGCAGACTTTTCTCTGACTTTAAATTGCAGCATGCATTTTTTTCAGGTTTGTGACTGTATTGAAGACATCCAGGTAACTAGCATTTTAAGAAGATGGTAAGCTTCTCTATTTCTCTCAGTAGAGAACTCCTTTAATACTTGGCAAAGCATTCCCACAGCACAAAGGCTTATCTGAAGAGCCAGCACAACAGAAGTAGCCTAATTTGAGGCTCTCTATATCTGTCTGAAATATTGGACATAGTCACCTGGTAAGGGACAAGTAACTGCTCTGACTTTATTGGTGTGTGTAAATTTTAGCTTTATGTACTGAATAGTAAGAAGATAAATTGAAAACATGTGAAAAGGTGACAAGAGCTCCACCTTCTGGCTACAAATAAGAATGCATTATTTTCTGTTTACCTGACTGAAAATGTACCATTAAAGGAGAACTATCGGGTTATGGCTTTTCCCCATAGTTCTCCTTAGGATAACGGGAGGACACAAACTAGCATCCTTCCGTCACCCTAAGCTCAGTATACCGTGAGCTACAGCTTGCGGTATACTGAGACGCCGCAGCTGAAGCGGATCCCAACAATTAGAACTATGCTAGAACTATGTGGATGAGTGAAAAGCACTGACCTCATAGTTCTCTAAGTTTGTTTTTGTTTTAGTCCTAACTATAATAAATAAAAACAATGCACCACTACACATAGCCTATAATTTCCAGTAATTTTAATGGGCTCATGTCCTCAGGTTGAGTCTGTTTCTGTTGTATAATGGAGATTTATAGAGGATTCCCTGCCACTATGATGTGGGAGTTACTGCAGCAGACCTGAAAAAGAAAACAACAATTGAAAGAAAAGTTAAATGCAGTCCCCCAGGTGCTCTCCCTTTTGATTTGCTTAGGTGTCAGTTTTAGATGGACTCTATTTTGTCAAACATGAGGCATCTTAGTGTCTTAATATTATCTGGAAACTCTTAGGGGCTCACTTATCAATGCTTTGCCCAGCGTATAACTTTTGTTCAGCATTACTGCCACTAGATGGAGCATTTCCTATACTCTTTGGCTCCATCTAGTGGCAGTATTGCCATGCGAACCACATTCACCCACCTATATGACGGACAAAGACTTTATACTGTAAATCAGCCCCTTGTGTCTGACCATGAAACTCCAGGTGTTGAAGTATAGCTCAGGGTTTATGGCTCACATATCAGGTTAGTGTCTACCACCTAGTGGCATTTTGTTCAGTCAAACATTTATTTTGTTCTATTTTTATTTTCTGTATGATATACTTTTTTTTAAAAGTAGAATTAAAGCCCATCCTGCTGCCCTGTTTTGTGAAGCATGTCCCCAGTCTCTATTAACTCTAACAGCAGTCTAACAGCTGTCTCTTACCATCTCTTTTAGCTTGCTCATAGTTTTGGCCACCTTTTGCTGCATGTCTGCAGTCCACAGCTTTTGGTAGCATTACAGTCACTGTGTGGCCCTTTGCTGATGTCGGTGGTTACACGTGAGGACTTCTATAAGAAGAAAGTTGACCACCACAGATTTAAAGACTGTATGAAGGTCTAAACAGGTTCCAAATTCAGTTACTGTGTGATGCACATGCTTTATAAAAAAAATAAAAAAAACTTCCTTTACCCTTCCTAAAAGCACTTTGAATTAAGTGCTCGCACCACATGCCTTTTTAATGGAAGGCCATAGTTCTACTTTAAATACCAGAGTACTGTATGTTCTGACCAAGCATCTTTTTACAGAAACATTTTATTAGAAAGCTCCATAATGCCACTAATAAAATAATTGTACAGAATCTGGATTACTAAGAACTTCCTCCTATCATTTAGAGATACAGTACTGCATTTTAGCTGGCTGGCGACTGCCAGAGGATCTCGACACGCGTGGCACCTCTGGCAGTCGCCGGCCAGCTCAATTAGGACCCCCACCTGGAGCTCCTCCCACCGGACCAGCGCTGACTCGCTGCTGCTCTCCCGCACTTAAAAACCGAACACAACATACAATAACACTAAGTAGGCTAAATGGTTTGCAAAATCCTGCCCTAGTGTGCCCTGCAGCAGGCCCGGCGCTACCCTGTTTCCCCGAAAATAAGACCTACCCCGAAAGTAAGACCTAGCACTATTTTTCAAGGTTCCTGTAATATAAGACCTACCCAGAAAATAAGACCTAGTTTGGTGGTAGCATGTGAGGGGGAACTTGAAGAGCAGGAGAGATGGTATCAGCCTGCAGGGATATACTGTATTAAGGGGATGACAGGGGACTCCCTCCGGACAGCGCAGTGACAGGGAGCACTCCAGTACCATACTTCACCAACTGCTGTCCCCCTGAAGGCACTGCTTAATGTAATGGTACTGTACTGTAATGTGTACCGGTAAATGGTACCGTACTTTACCCGGCTGTCCACTGTCTGATGTCCCCACTGCTGCACCGCTGTCCCTGATGGCAAAGGAGGCTGGTGCTGTAGAAAGCAAGGCTGCGGCGGAGGGAGCAGAGTCGCATTAGCCTGATACTTCCTCTATAGCGCCGGTTAATAACTTTGAACATAACTTTGGATTGTTGTACATTTTATTGCACATAAAAAAAAAAAAAAGACCCCCTTAAAATAAGACCTAGTGGGCAGGGGCAAAAAAAATATAAGACCGTGTCTTATTTTCGGGGAAACACGGTACCACAAGACAAGTCAGGCGGTATCGTGTTATTGTATGTTCGGTTTTTAAATGTCTTTACATGGGCTGTAATGTAGGTTGATGCACCCAAAAGCAGAATTAAGGACCTTTTACCAAGTAACAGAACTTGTAGGTATGAACAGAGAGTATAAAGAGCAATGGTAGCTATGGGGTAGCCAGCAACCAATGATGCTGTGCCGGACTTACAGCCAGGGCCAGATTTGCCCTCAGAAGAAGTGGAAATTCCACTCCTTGATTGATTTAATTGATTATTTTATTTTCCTATTTTTCTGTGGTTTAAACACTTATTATTGAGATTAAGCATTTTTGATTTACACTATATGTTGGATTAGGTTTATCATCATTTTCAACATATTGTATTACTTATTTATTTATCTATTTATTGTTCACGGTTTCACCCTTAGCGCTGTGTTGCCCATCTACTATTACTTGGGATTGTGAATCACTTCTCTTTTGCCTACCATCCACAGAGGAATGGCCAAACTGAACGCACAAATCGGACTTTAGAACAGTACCTCTGGTGCTTTTCTTTCTCACAAGACAACTGGTCCCCTCTTCTTCCGTTTGCTGAGTTTGCGTATAACAACTCCATACATTCTGCAATCGGGTAGTCACCCTTTTTTGCTAAATTTTTGGCTTCAATCCCTCATTTATGCCC